CTCATGACAGAGCAGTTCCAATCTCTGCATGGTCTGTTCCTTAATGTCTTTTTTTATTTAGTAACGAAGCTAAGGGGAAAAAAGCAAAGTCTTCCTCCAACGTGATCATGCTTGTGCCTGTTTACAAAAACCAAGAGGCAGCTGTTTATTCACAGAAAAGGGAGACTGTGCAAGAAGAAATGCTGCAACAGGGAGAGTTCAACGCCATGTATGCAGCACTGCCTTTGTTACCTGCACAGACACCAGTCACTGCCTTGTTCAGTGCTCTTCCTGGTAACAAGGGTTATATCACACAAACTACATCCACACCCATGTCATGAAAAAGGAGAACAGGCACAAAGAAAAATCCTGAAACGGCTACCTAGCTAGCAGAGGTTGGCTCAGCGGAACAGAACTACGGAACTGAAAGAGCAGAGAGCAGCGCAAGGCAACCGCTGCTTCAGCCGGGCTCTGAGTGACCCCCTGCAGCCCCCAGAGACCATCGGGACCGGCAGCCACGAACGGAAACGAGCAGAGATCAGCGTAGGAGGCAGAGGAAATGGAGATTACTGATCTGTGCAGAGGGCTGCCTCGGACATGAGGAAAAAACAATATTAGACTGAGATAGAAGGAATCAAAACAATTGTCTCTACCCTGCCCGGAGAGAAAAGAGAAAGCAGTTAGTCAGATGAATGCTTTCTCTTTTTCATTTTATCTGAACTACACTGGGGAGTGATACATCATGCAAACCCAAATTACCACTCTGCATCACTTGTTTCTCTACAGTGTTTCAGCTGTTTCTTTTTGTTTGGCTCTCCACATCAACCTGTTGCAAAAAGCAGGATTTGAGTTTTGGGGTTTTTTAAACCGTTGTGCAGAAAACCCTCCAAACATTCCGTTTAATTCCTTTTTTTCTTCTCCAAGATCGCCACCCCTCTGCTGTGCAGTGCTGTTTCCAGCCCTGCTGCCTGCCAGCCCCCAGGAGAAGGCAGCTCCCAGCCCCACAGAAAGGCCATGAGCCCCACTCAGCACTGCCTCCATCCCCTCCCTTGCTCCAAGGCAGAAGTTAATGGGGTTTGCACTTTTCAAACTCAATTCTTCCCTTTAGACTCTGTTAGAAACCTTCCAGACGAGCAGCAGATTAACCATCAACTCTCCTCACCAACATCCAGAATGTTTATCAACATGGACTTGAAAAGTTACAATCTCATTACATTTTGCTAATGATGATCATGACCAGTTTCAAGCCATTATCAGTCCCTACCAAGTCTACCCCATGAGCAGTGATCCAAAAATGGTTCCTGATAGAAACACAAGACAAAAATAGAAGAAAAGGTGAAATCCACAACAGCTTCCACCCTGAAGCCACCCTAGCCACAGCCAGCAGCTCTCAACCGTTTCTGCACCCTACAGCTCACCTACTGTGAAATGGAAGAAGGGGAAGGATTTCTTTACTTCTTGGTGCCAGGCTTAGCACCAAGAACAACCTTGGCCATTGCCTGCTGGTCCTTTCATCTAGAAATAACCCCCACACACCACATTTCTTCACCTAAAGAACCACATTTCATGTAGCGTAATACCAACACGGGCTGGCAGTTTGCAGTAAGGGAGCTTTACTAGCAGTAGATACATTCATATTCATGGTGCATTTAATTTTTCAAGTGTATATAAAGACTGGGTTCACCAGAAGTACACCACTACCCAAAAAGCAACAAACATAAGGCTGAAGTCAGCATTACTTGGCCTTATCTGGCTACTTTCAAACTATTTCTATGCCAATATTTCTGTGCTTACATGCACGCAAGTAAAGGAGGGGGATGACGCTGATCAAAATATCTACAACCATGGACAAACCATACTGACAGAAGCTCCAGGGAGCAGAGAGAGCAGTTGTAGCCAGAAGTGGGTGCATAGGACACAGGGGACAGAGAGGCAGCACAACCATGCAACTGGTTGTGTCACACACGGGTGTCACGACGAACGGAGGGCTGCAGGCTGAGTTCCAGCCTCAGCTCTACCCCTGCAAAGGGCCACTCGCAAGAAATGTGTGTTCTCTCCTTTTACACCCCCACACAGCATGTGAAAATTGCCAGAGAACAGTCATATCTTTCCTACATTTTTTCTGGCACACACAATTTTTTCTCTAAAAACCAGAAAATCTTCATACATGCATACTTCAAAAAAAAAAATCCTTACTACATGTTATTTAAGCCTCTTGAGATTTAGCAAGGTACTAAGCTGCATTTCTGAAAGTGCAAGCCCTCTGCAGCTACATTCATGGGACTTGCTATGTTCCATTATTAATAATCAACAGAAAGAAAAAAAAAAAAAAAAACATTTGCCAAATATAATACAATAATCAGAAGGTAAAGGTGAGGAACAGCAGTCAAAAAAAACCCTTTCTCAACCTCACAAAAAATAACCATCAGGAGGATCATGTCAAAGCTGCCTCAGAATTTTCTCAGACTCTCTAAGAAATCAAATCTGGCACCACAGAAGGTTTTGCAAACATTTCTCAGAAGTAGCTCTGCAGTTCCAGCAAAAACAGTCAGAAAAAACTTCAAATCCCCACCCTAAAAAACAAATTCAGAGGCATAGATCCAAAACTGAAGCTCAGAGGCTTCTCTACAAGGGCAAGAAGTGACATGCACACACATCCAACATGCAAAGAGAACGTAAAATAAAAGTTGTTTTCCCCAGTTTTAACGAAGTGGTAACTGCAAGAGCAAACCATTCATGCCGCAACAACAGACTCTCTAGCAAGACTCTATAAGAAGTTTGGAGGTATCCCTCTAAGCAACCAGTGCTACTAAACCTTTTTCTTCCTAGTGGGAGAAAGCTCTTATTTAACATGATTTTTCTCCTGATTTATAAAGTAAGCAATTCTGAGTGTAACAATGACACATCCCCAATTCCAAGAAGTGTTTTTTTTTTTTTAAAAAAAAAAAAAAAAAAAAAAAAAAGCGCAAGCAAACTACCCCCAGTATCTCAAGTGAAATAAATTCACCGCTACGGAGGAGGCGAGAGCAGAGGAGGCTGCACCTCCCAGCAGGCACACCCGGGGCGGCTCCCCTCCCCTGCCCTGCCAGGGTCCCAGCCCCCAGCCGGCCACGCCGGGCGCAGAGACCTTCCCGAGCTCACCCCCCGCCCCGCGCTTCCCTCGGGGAAACCCCCGACCAGCCCCGGCAGCGGCTCGGCTCGGCTCGGCTCGGCTCGGCTCGGCACCCCCGGGGCCGCGCCGCGCTCACCTCGGGCAGGAAGGGCCGGGCGGCCGCTGCGGGCCGGGCTGGCGGGCGGCGCTGGCGCTGCCGCGGCGCGCCCCGCGCTATAAGGCGGGTGGGCCGGGCCGGCAGCCCCGGCCGCGCCGCCCCGCCCCGCCGCCGCCTCCCCGGGCCGCCCCGCTCCGGGCCCCGCGGGCGGGCAGCGCGGGCTGCTCGGCTGGGGAACCGGAGCCGCGGGCTGGCGTCTTCCGATGCGTTTTACTGACTGCAGAGCTTCGCTTCTTTATGTTTCATTTCATGCCCCCCCCCCCCCCCCCCCCGCTCTGCAATGCCCACGGTGCACGGGCACACACGGCACACACGCGGGCTCTCCTAGTCACAGCCACGGAGACCTCCACTGTCGGCCACAGGCCCGTTTGTCAAAAAATAAAATTACAGTAACGAAGTGACAATGGTGTTCAAGAAGGGATGGTATGGCCAGAGAGCTCAGTAAAAACAGTTGAAGCTACAAAAGAAGACTTCTGGTAAATTTTCCCATATTTTGCAATGAGGAAGGATGAGGGACTGAGCTGTGGTGCAAGGTGACGAGAAAGCCCACACATGTGCTCCATAGTAGCATCATTCACATGTGTTTGGCATCTCCTGCGTGAGCCAGAGCTGCCACAACAGGGCCTGAAGTGGAAGCTGCACCAGGACAACTGATGAGACAGTACAGGACAGCACTGAGGACACACTCTGCGTTAATTGTCAAGGACCTTACTAGGAATACAAGAATCACCAAAATATGTTAGGGCAGTACCCATTTCCAGTCAGCAGAGTTTTAGCAATGCTCTCATGTGTGCAAAATTCTCCTAACTGGTAATAAACCACAGCATTTTAGAACATGGTTTTAAAAACAGTGCTTAGGCACTGAGTTAATTCTTTCTGTTTCTTTTCCCCTTACAGGTACCAGACAAAGCATGTCCTCATAATATTAGTGACGGGAGACAAGAAGTATACGCTCTTTTAGCCAACCATAATCATGTAAGAAACAGCAGTGTGCAACTTCTGTTACAACTGCCACAAACAGATTTTAGCAAGCCTTTTTTTTTAATGAAGAAAAATAAACGTAAGTCCTATAACACACAGTGTTTGATCTGAGACAGGGCATCTAGAAGAGGTCACACAATATGAAATAATGGGCTTCCTATGTCAGCCCCATGGTCGTCTTCCAAAGTACCTTACCTCTCTGTTCCACACAAGATCCTACCCCTTTGTAAGATACATAGTAATAGGACTGATGACTTCACTTGCTTAAAACATTATTTTTTTTTCCCTGGAAATCTTTTCTCTTTTGTTTTGTGTGGCAAAACTGACTGATTTTTTCAAGGTGGAGGAGGATGAAGGGAAAGCACTACGTAAGTGAGCACTGTTCAGAGCAAACTCCCCAGTCACACGGTCTGGAATTACAGCTGCACTTTCCTCAAAAGTTCAGCACTCGTGAGTCATCCTTCTTCCTTCTCCCCTCTTCCCAAGTGAAAATGCATGGCCTATGAGACATACATGACAATATATGGCCACAGTCGTGAGGTTGGTTTTCAACACTAGACTGTGGGCTTGGGGGACCCTCCATGTGAATGTGCATGTGTCCCCCCAGCTATCACAGTTAGGAAATGTGATTTTGCCTGCTGCTTTTCTCACCAGCTGCTGGAGACAACAGAGGTTCCAGCCTCCCCCTAAACTCCAAGTTGCCTCCCTCCCCTCCTTTCCCTCAGTACAATTTCTAAGGATCAGTTAATCATCTTCAGCACACGTGCCTACCTTGCTCTCTGTCCCTGGCGTGGGGTGGTCAGCAGCAGGGCAGCACAGGCTCCTTCCCAAGATGCAGGCAGGGCTGGGTGCCCTCCCCAAGGCCACTGCCAGCACCTCACAGGGCAGGAGGTGGTCTAGAGCTGTGGGGCTCTCCTGCCTCTCCTCTTTCCTCCTGGCTGGTCCCCTGCTTACTCAGACACAGGTCTGGGCTGTTGCAGGGACTGAGCACTCCTCTCAGCAGTCCTGACAGGGAAAAAACAGAAGGATTTCTTGATAGCATAGCATCATTATACCACTTTTCATTCATTTAAAGTATTCAAACTGCAATTACTTACACGATTTGAGTCAAGGAAATGAGTGTGTAGGGGGGAAATGTATCAGCTAATGTGATTCATTAGTAACAGTGGGTGATATACATCCCTGTGCAGCAGCAAGGATGAGGTGACTTGAACAGCTCTTAAATAACTAGATGGGTGCTGGTTCTTGACACAGGGCAAATACTGTCCACCTCTATTAGAAAAGCATAAATTAGTCTAGGACAGCTCCAGCAAAGGCAATCCTGATTACCAATTGCAGTTTCTGAACTGGTTTTTGGAACTGTTTATCTAAAAGATATGGCTGGCGCAAGTGCAAAGTGTAGGCTGGACATGAATGAACTGTGCCTGGAAATTAGAAGCAGGATCTTAATGATTGGAGAAATCAGATTGTAGCAGAGAATAATAGGAGGAAAATTACCCTTAACTCCTTGAATATGTGGCATATTAAGTATGCTTCAGTCCAGAGTACTCCATTGCACTTTATGTTCTCATGTCCAGTCTCAGTGCTGACTGGAAATTGAGCAGTGCAACACCAGTGTGCCAAACCGAGAGCATGTGATCAGCCTTTCACTTAAAGCTGTTTACTATACAATGGGATACAGTCATTCTATTTTATAAAATCAACTTTTTCATACCAGGTATCTGACAAGTTATTGTATGCTCTCACTATCTTAGTCATCTGTAGTGTTGAATCATGCTTCAGATGAGTTCTGTTAAGTTTGCAAAGCGTAGGAATTGAGGACATCTTTGCTGTTCTCAGATTAATCACAGCAGCAAGACCAGGGGAAAAAAAATGATTGTAAAGAAACAAATCTCCCTCTGTGGTTAGGGTTTAGAATTCAGATAATGCTAATTACAGACACAAATAACCTTGCAAATACTTTACAGAGATTTGAAATAAACAAAGCCTCAAATTGCTGTACAGTCATCAATAACACAGTGTAGTAAAAGTAGCATTAACACAACTTTCTCAACAAGAACTTCATCAAACATCTTTCTACCTTTCCCTCAGGGGGAGGATTTAGCCTCCAACCTTAGTTATCAAACCCAGAGCACTCTTAGTAGCAGGGTGAGAAACGAGTTTCAGAGCCTCACAGCCAAACTTGGGACACTATGTCATGGAGAAGGAGCACATCAGCTTCAGGTTGTAATCACCTCCCATTTTGTACTCCTGGAGGGTGTACCAAAACCCTACCAAACAGGTATTGCTTAACTCTTAATTTGGCCAGTTGGCTCTTTCACTTGGCTAGTGAAATAGTGATAGCTGGCATGAGCTGGCCTTTATCAGGCTTATCTTCTTATGTTCATTTTTAACTTTTCTACAGTAAAATAGTTCCAGGTTCCTCCTCCCATGATTTGCATGTAGGTGAAATTTAGTTGTCTATTACGAAGTAAGGGACTTCATACCAGTGCAGGAGTCATCAGTGAACATCTTGGCAGGAGGTATAATCCATCTAGTCACTGCAGATAATTTTTTCTCTTGTCTAGCATGTCTTCAGGTTCCACTCCTTCTAAAGAAAGGTTATGTTTATCATGAGCAGAGGAATCTTTTAATGCATGAAATCAGACAGAGGCTACACAGCTACCAAATATTTTAGGGTCAGCCAGGTTGACTGTCCATTGGTTCTGAGGCAGTCATCTGCTATTCAGTAGTTGGTGACTGCAAAACCGGATCTTTCAGATCACCCATCTTCCCAGTCAAAAGCATACTTCAGGAAAAATAATGTATATAGATTGTGCTAAAGTAGAAACACAGAAAAGCTGAGCTTTAGAGCAAGGTAAGCTCCAGGGAAATTGTGGTGTTTTAAGACCAATATGTCTTGTCTTCTCTGTGTTTTCACTTCACATGCAATAGGCATCCTTAAAATAACCCATACCGCATTCTTGTAGGAAAACAAGACCTTAAAGAAGAACAGTTGACTGTGCCACTTGCTTTTTATTTTGTAAATATTGAGTACCTGACAGAAATAAAATATTATCCCCTGCTCCCTCCTGAGTTAGGAACTTCTATCCCTTACTCCTATTGTTTAGATTTACTCTCAATTGTTATCACAAGTTGCTTCAACCAGCCAGTCCATTTGCCTAGCTGCTCTGTGGAGACTCACATCCTCAAGCCGCCTTGGCCTCTGTCCTCCCTGAAAACTTCACCTGTATTTCCAGTTGATACCCTTGCAGATTCAGCATTGCACTCACAATCAGGCCTGTTTGCTATAAACCTGCCATAAGAAGGCAAGAAGCCAGCTTGATTCCTGTTCTTTACAGGGATCCACATGTGAACTTGTGCCAAGCTTTGCATTATGCATGCTGGAGGGTCAGGCCAGGAACTGATAGGCAAAGGGCATTAACATTTGAAGACAAGATGCAGCATTCCAGCTGAAGTTTCCTTTCTAAGGTACGGTGTATTAAGGAGAAGTTAATCTACAAGAGCAATGCAGGGCACGAAGCAATCATTAAGCACTGAACAGTGGTTATCCTTCTGAGTGTACAAACTACAGCATGCCACCAGAGCCATACTATGCCTCACTAGTATATAGCATTGAATTAGGAAACTACTTTTTGGAATACAAAATATAAAAGCAGCTACTCAACAAACTTATTACTATGGCCTTTATACAGATTTACAGTTTTAAACTGGAGCAGAGATCAAACTGACTCATATTTTACTATTTCTGACAGATGTCATGATCAGAAGATGGCTGCTAGTTAACCAGTCAGACTACTAAGCCAATCATTGACAAATGTAGCATATATATCATGTTGTGTTATCTGCTGTTATTTACATTTGTTTTACCACATACTGGCTGATAATGATTAACAATGATGAATAATTATGATCATGATCACATAATTCATTATTATGATATGCTGATAGTTATTATAGGGGAAAAAAAAAATGGAAGCTACGCTTTGTTCAAATGAACACATAGCAAAATCTTTATTGTGAAAAAGAGCCTACAAAACAATCCTATTACACAAGTAGGTTGGGTTGTTTTTATGACCTGCCTCAATAAATGGCAACTGCCTGGAGGAAAACCACAAACACTGTCAACGGCAGCAACTTCAATGTATGACAGCTGCAGCTGTTAGGAGCTGAAATATAAAGGCTGGTGATTTTCATGAACAGTTTATGGTAACATGTTTCTTGTTCCCTCACTATCTGGCCATCTTCAGAACATGTACCATTCATCTCTTTTCCCAGTTAGTCTATTCTGTTTAGATCCCAAACTGCACACAGGGGTCAGGTCTGTGCTTAAACTTTACATCCTGCAAAGAGCTCTGTTCATTATCAGATGATTCTTTGTGATAGCTGTGATTAAACTGTTATAAATATCTTTACATCCCTAGGGCTGAGATTACTATCTCTTTTGGAAAAAGACTGTCTCTTACTAGCAGTATGAATTGTCTGGGCATCTAGATTCTTCCAAAATGCTTGTAAATGCAACATCCTGCACAGCACAAAAAACTGTCAACAACAGGATTTTTTTTTTCTTGAAAAAAGGATTAGATAAAAATTCCCATGGTGCTAGAACTATTAAGTGAAAGAAAACAGAGATAGAAAATAATACAATGGAGAGAGATCAGTACAAGACACAAATGCCCTAGCGTCTGGAGGATTCTCTGTACTTCTGTATCCAGAAGTTTGTAGCAGAAACTGCATTCACAGTCCATGTAACAAGATACTATTTCCTGTGTTTGTGATCAATGTGATATATGGGTTAGAATATTCGTGTTCATTTCATTTTGGGCATTGATCCCATTAGTATTTTCACTTCCACACCAGGGAGAGAAAAAATGCATTCTCCCGGCTACATTTCTTAATGTAAGATTACTTGTTCCAATCTACAAGACACAAAGGCATGCTCCTTCTCTGTATCTCTGTCCTCATTTTCTTTTAAAAACCAATGGATATAAAATCTCATGTACGCATTACCTCAAGTCTTCTGAAAACTAACAATGACAAGTTAGATCTGGTGAAACAAGGGTGTTTTCACAGGCTAGCAAGCCTGCCACTCTTGAAAGCCTGCCAGGTTTAAATATTTAATGATCAGACATGGCATTCATCCTCCTAATCAATTCTTTTTTTAGATACAAGTCTGAAGAGTCTCAGAAAGTACAATCAGGCAGTGCTGAAGACCTGCAGAGGCTTCTCACACCAAACACTAAATAGCTACACTTGCTAGGAAATGAATAGGGGAGGCAGAATTCTCTGTGCTGTTCCATTAGAGGCACACTGTAAGCCATAAAAGGGGTAGATTGTCTTAAAAGAAATTGGCTTTTATAAAGCCTTTTCTTTATATCCTTCATGTTGGTGGCATTTTTTCACTTAGAATTAAATGAAATGGAAACTTTTACAAAGTTGAAATAGGCAAAATTCTTTCTTGGAAGACAGTGGACAGGTGTAAGTTCCACACATGCATTGAAGAGATGTCTGCTTCCAGACCTGGCACGTACAAAGTGTGCAGTGGGTGCATGCAAAAGTACTCATGGGCTTTGGGTTTGGCCAGGCAGTAGGTTACACCATTTGTTTTAGAACCACATGGAGTATGCGTGGGCTGATGTAATATAAGTGACAGAAGATCAGAAAAGTGTGTCTGAAGTCACCCGAAGAACTTAGGTACTTTCAGCCAAATGCTCCTCCTCCTCTGATTGGGGTTCCTAACCCTTCCTCCCTTCAGGAGCCAAATATTTATCTCATTTCCTTCTGCAAAACAATAGCCAGAGGGTTGGTGCTTTTCACTTTATTTAGTAGCTGATGGGACAGGGCACTCAAGCTGAATGTGGGAACCTCCAACTAAGGCAATTCCCAGGGGAAAGAAGACTGTACTT